ATCTCCATCATTATACAGGTAGATTGGTGAAAAATAGGGACAACAATGAAATCAAGGGTTTTTGTATTAATTTGTAGCATTCAGGCATCCATCGAATCCATTCATGACTCTCTTGCTGAGGCATTGGTTAATTTGACAGAGGAGGTAGAGTTTCCTTTCTTTTCATTATGTTATACATTTTGCATGATAAATGTCTATATTACCCTTTGATCTCATATGCTTTTTTTTTGGTGCAGTGTGAAAAATTATGGTCAAAAGTGTATGTTGTCTGGCCTAAAAGCAGAACTAGAAGCATTAAGACGAAGGCACTCTGATGTACTGTAGTTGATGGGTGAAAGAGATGAGAGGTAAAATTACCTTTTCAATGTGAGTTGCTGCATCTTTAGCCTTACTTACAGTTCTGACTTCTGACTTCACTTATATACCTCTATGTGGTGTTTATAGAGAATTATCCATATGCTCACACAAATTTTTGTAGCTGATTACACATTAATTTAATTATGCAGGTTTTGATGTTTTTGATGGAAAAAAATAGTGTTAATGCTCTTCATAGAAAAGTATGTTGGTATTTTAGGAAATTTGGCTAATAATTTAGTTAATTATATAAAAAATGTTGAAATGCTACATTTTTCTACTATTGGAATGATTATTTGTATTACATTAACTTTTGTGCAATGTATTGTATTTTTTGTATATGATATTTTATTCTCTATTATGAGACATAAAATACAAATTTAATTTGAAAATCAGTAACTCTATAAATAATTTAAAAAAAAAATTAAAATTACGATATGCAAAAATGTGTGTGGTCTTCATTTATGACATGGCCTTTCTTGATAGGGGGTTCCTTGATACGCATTGTGTATCATAAACAAGTGCGTCGTAAGGTTACGACACGCAAATGCGTGTCGTCTTCCATTATGACAGGGCCTTCCTTGATACGCATTGCGTGTAATAACCGCGCCTCGTAAATGCGCGTCGTCTCTCTTTATGACAGGGCCTTCCTTGACCCGCATTTGTGCGTCGTCTGAGCATTTTACAATGCGCAATGAGCGTCGTACAAGGCTGTTTTTGTAGTAGTGAAAATATTAATTAGAAATAGTATTATTTAATTAAGAATGAATTATTAATTAGAATTAATTTTGGGATTAATTGGATTAATTAAAAGTGAAAGTGTTAAAGTGTAATTATGCAATAGTTGAACATGAGAGGGTCCATAACCTTCCTCGGAAGGGGTAGACGATTTTAGGTATTATAGGGCATATGGAATAGAGAAATTAAATATCCTCCTACCTTTTATTCCTACTTTTCTTCCTACCTATTTAAGGTGATGACAAATGTACAAATTTAAAATGTCAATCAAATTTAAATTTAATTTAATAAGACTTGTCACCATTTAAAATAGGTAAGAGCATAGTAGAAACAAAAAGTGGGAGGCTATTTAATTTCTCTATGGAGTATTCCTTACAAATAAATAGGAAGTTGGATAATTACTAATCTGGATTAATATTATTTTATTCGGATTATAGTTATCTAGTGTTTCCAAGTTACACTATATAAAGAACCATTGACCTTTTATTTTAAGCCACTCCTCCTTTCCTACAGTTAGCCGAAAATTCCATCATCCCCTATCCTCTCTCAAGTCGCTTTGTTTCTAGGGTTGGGTATGAACCAACAAAGACATGCTATTTTTAGTGCTAGTTTCCAAGCAACTACAAGAAGGAATTTTTGATTGTTTACAACAATCAAGAGGTATGTTTTCTTCTATGATTATTGAAATTACCTTGGGTTATTAGGTTCTTGTTGTTCAATATTGTTATTTCAATACAGTTATAACTTGATCTAATAGGTTGCTTGTACCCTTAAGTGTATAAGGATTTATCTGCGTTATCACATGTAAATCCCATCACATATTATCTTTCTATATTATACATGTTATCATTTTTTAGACTATATAATAGGTAGTTGGGTGATACTATTTTACATGATGGCCAACGTGATGGTCTTAGGACATAAAGGTGATGGAGTCGGGGATCAATTACCTCAGGTAGGCTTTGGTCGTAGATAGCACGCAGGGGATGATAAGTCTTATCATGATATATTTATTAGCTATTTTTATTCATTTATTATAAACTTAAACAATCGTGACTAATATTTTCAAGTATATTTCAGCTGAGCAACTAAAAAAAGAAGAGGATTACCTAAAAGCATCCAACTATAAAAGCTGATACGAGCAAATAGGGGAAAGCTCGTCGATTTGGACTTTGTCAGAGAGCTCACATTTCCCCTGTCGGGAAACGTGACAACATATTTATGCATGAGATTAGGAGGTATATGTGGCAGAACATCCCTATTAGCATATCTTTAACATACCTAGGCGGGACAATACTTCACCCCCCTTTAAGGAATGCCATAGTCGTGCATCGAAACGTAAATTATTTATATGATAATATAATTAGTGTTTGAAAAATACATAATACCTTACTCAAAGAGATCAATCAACACACTCAAGCTTCCTTTGAAGCAAGCAGTCTAACATTAGAGTATATAAAGTTTGTTTTGAATGAATTTTGGGTGTTCGACGCAGCTATATCAGAGGCATCACGCATAAACCTTATACGATTGTGTCTATGTACGATTAGGAACAATCACTAGCACAACCACCACCACAATCACAAGTAATTATTAGCTTAAGTGTATTTGGAAAATACATAAGAATTATGTTTTACTATATTTTGAAATTACAATATTATAATGGAAGAACGAAAAAAAGTACAATCGTATAATGTATATAGAATATGTGTAGTAGTTAGCTTGGTTATAGTTTAATATGCTGGTATTTTGTAGTTTGGTAATTGTTAGTTTAGTATAAAACGATGTTATAATGGAAAATGGGAAAAAAGTACAATGCTATAATGTATATAAAGGATGTATGTTTAACCGTGTGTGCAAAGTACAATGCTATATTGGGAATAATTAGGATGCCATAATCATCATAACTTTATTTTGTAAAGTAGAATGCTATTATGAAATGTTTGCAATTTATTTTGTTTCACTAGAGTTGAACGTGTTGTATACAATGCTAAAAGACCAGGCCTATAGTGTGACACTAGAAGAGTCGTTACAACGTTGCAGCCAAGAAATAAAGACGAAGCAAAGGAGGGGATGATGATGAGGGATAACTACTTTTATAATGTACGAAATGTTTTCTTTGCGATACTATTTTAGGTTACTATTTTGGATATATTGCACTATGATTGGATGTATATTTAGGATCGAATGTTTGGATTAATATTTTGGATTAGATGGCGTATATATTATCAAGTGGTGAATGTTTTGAATTATTTTTCTACAAAATGATGTTTTCTAGCAGTTTGAATACTTGGTATTCTGTTTTTATTTTCAAATTTTAATGTTCAATACTACAACACATAGAAAAATACAATTAGCAGCAACGCCTTTAATGGCGACGGACCTGAAATAACGGCCACATATGGTGATTTATAGTGAGGCACCATCGACAACCTTTTTGCGAGGACAGGTCGCCGTAAAAGCTATTCACAATGACATACCGAACATTTAGCGGCTACGCCAATCACTGCTAATACACACGTTTCTTTTCGCATAGATACCATTTTCAAAAATATGCTAGAGGGTCCATTTTATATATATATATATATATATATATATATATATATATATATATATATATATATATATATATATATATATATATATATATATATATATATATAAACTCTTGTAATTCAACATTTTACTACCTATTAAAATATGCTAGAGGGTCCATTATAAAAACATTTAAATTTTCATATAAAATATGATTTTACTACCTATGAAAATATTTATATCGTTTATATTATTATATTAAATAAATCTTGTAGTATTTAAAGGTTTAAATGTCGTGGTCTAACTTTCTTATATATTAACACATTTTACTCGTATTTAAATGGTTTAAATTTAATTCAAGAGTAGTTTTTTATGACCTTCATTTTTTTTTAATATGATAATATTTGTTCAATTCAATATTAAAAACTCTTGTAATTCAACATTTTAAAATTTTAAATTACAAGTCAAATATATTTATGTTGTACTATTTAACAAAATCCTAACAAACAAAAAATATAGTAATTATTAAATTCATATTTGGATATCTTGAATTTTATAAACCAAAAGTACAAATAAATACATCAGAGACTAAATATTTTGGATCTTAAGGCTAACAAAAAAAATTTAAACCAAATAACAAATATTATGTATTGCTAGGTTTAAAATATTCTAACCACCTCCGTGATGTATATTACCATTTCTGAATTACGAAAATTAAAAATTAAATGATACCATATTTATATATTCGAAATAAACTTAAAATCAAGATAAGCCTTCTACTTTACATTTCCAGATGTGCAAGCCACACAATAATATATACATAGCATTTAAACTAATAAAAGGTAACCAAAGTGGCTTATAAACCAAAACATTACATTCCAATGTTAATTGAGATGTTAAATTCTTCGGTTCATGTCTCCTCTGTCAAATTTATACACAGGTGATCTATTATGAGGGCCAACTATGCATCACTTGTTAGACCATATATGTCACACCCCAAAACCAAGAACGGCGGAAACGTTCTGGGGCGGAGGACGTCATGTAACGTACCACAACAATGTAAAGTAGTAAACAAGCAACAACATCATCCATTGCATCAATAGTATAATTTTAATTACAAGTGTGTTCTTTCATAATATACAATAATAAAATGAATAATCAGAATAAGATGAGTCTAGACTGCTCCGTCTTCACAAACCTGGTCGTCGTACCTGTGTATTTGTGACCTGAGAATACAAGTTATTTTGAAAGCGAGTATCAGCCAAAAAGCTGGTGAATTCATAAGTATTAATGTGTCTTTGATTTGTAAAACTTGTAATGAAAGTCTTGACATTGTTTTGAAAGAAAGTTCGTATAAGTGTGGAAATGTTTGTCAGTAATGGAAAGCGTTTGAAAAACCCTAGAAATCCCTATGATTCCTATTAGTATAGATGAAATCTTCTACCAAGACCTAACTGTTTTGAAAGTAGCCTTCTACCAAGACCCGACTGTTTTGAAAGTAGCCTTATACCAAGACCCGACTGTATGACTATTATTATTAATATAAGAAATTGTATCCTTTTGAACTAGGATACACAAATATGATTCACCTCATCGATTATGTGAATGACTCACAAGGTAAAGGTAATAATAATATAAATAACTTAAGTATTATCATTTTGTACTATGATAAATAACATTGTTAACTGAAGACATCCGTAGATGTACATTTACCTCTGTAGCTAACAGGTGGGTGTAGAAATAGTTAGTCCCTTAATGTATACCTGTAATGGTATCAACCGTAGACATCCGTAGACGTGCATTTACCTATGTAGGTAACAAGGTTCTATGAATGGTTAGACCCACAAATTATCCTTTGGTATTAGGATAGTAAGTCCAATCTATCTCATCGATTATGTGGTTGTATCACAAAATAAAGATAAGACTGAGGATTATATAACATGATCTATACATATAAAATGTAATAGTAACTCATCATATATTATCTATGTAAAAGTATCCATGTAAGAGTATATGAACGTATACCTTTGCTACCCAAAGGTACTGAACTGACTGATTAGAACTATTATGTCTATATATGTA